GGGCTTGCCCGGCCGGCTGGAGGGGAGTGCGGGGAGGAACCGGGCCCTGCTGTGGGAGCGGGACAGGTACGGGGGGCTCGAGCCTGCGGGGCCGGGCGGGCTGCCCGCGGGGAGAGCCGGGTCGTGGTAACGCCCACCCGCAGCACAGCAGCAGCTTCCCCATCCAAACCCTTGGGCCTCTGAAATTCCTCGTTTCTTTCAACTGAAATGTTTCTGCCCTTAAAAAAAAAACAACAGCCAACCAACCAGCAGTCATCCCTTTGACCCTGTGTTTTTTGTTTTGTGCTTTTGCTCTGAAAAAAGAGCGAGTTGCTGCCTTTGTTTGTGATTAATGTTGGAAGGTTTTGCAGCAAAACTAGTTGTGGACTATCTTGGTGACAGGGCAAGGAGGCAGTTTATTCCATTCGAGGAAAATGGGATCGAAACACATTACACAGGAAACGTTTGATGATGCAGTGCAAGAAAACATCACAGAATTTGAAATGGATCCAGAGGAGGCTGTGAGAGAAGCTGTGCAGCAGTTTGAGTCCCAAGGTATTGCAGATTCATCTACTTTTTTTTTTTGTTTGTTTGCAGTTCAGGTTATTAGGGACTTAATAAAACCTGCGTGCAAAGATTGATCATCCAGTGCTGAAAAGAAGCCTTTGTGAAGTGGAACATAGACATGATTAATGCTAACCTAGTTTCATGGAGTAATTATGACTGAAAACCTGCTTTGAATGAGCTGCAGTTTGGTCAATTCAATGCAACTCTTTTCCTTTTTGTTGTTTTTTTCTCCATTTGACATCTAGCTAGAATTAATGCTCTGTTCCAGGATGTATCTGACCATTATTGTTAAAATTTAGCAACCTTGCAGCATTTTTGTGCCTTGACCCGTGCTTTGCCTTAAGTTGATCTTTGTTCAGTGGTGAACTTGACAAGTTTTACCCAAGCTCCTGTTGTAACTAACGTTAATCTTGGTTTTGTTTTTCCTTTGAGGTGTCGACCTAAGCAATATTGTGAAGGCTGTGAGGCAGTCTGCCTCTGAGAATGGGCAAAAGCATGAAATTTTGCTGGTAGGAGCACAAATTTCTGTTGTTTTTCTAAGGATAAGGGTTACGTAATAGTTTAAGTAACAACCTCAGAATAATGAGACAAACCTTTTGTCTCTGCCCCATTTCTTTGTGAGCATTTAATCCCATGTCGGGATTATTTTTTATATATAAAGTACATATATAGTTTGATCTGGATGATCCAACTTTAAAGGGACCTTAAAGATCATGTAGATCCCACCCCCTGCATGGGCAGGGACACCTCCCACCAGCCCAGGCTGCTCCAAGCCCCATCCAACCTGCCCTTCAACAGTGCCAGGGATGGGGCAGCCACAGCTTCCCTGGGCAGCCTGGGCCAGGCTCTCACCACCCTCACACTCCAGAATTTCCTCCTCGTGTCCCACCTCAATCTCCCTCTTCCAGTTTTAATCCATTCCCCTTTGCCCTCTCCCTCCTTGCTCTTGTCCCAATTCCCTCCCCAGCTTTCCTGGAGCCCCTTCAGGCACTGGAAGGTGCTCTAAGGTCTCCCTGGAGCCTTCTCTTCTCCAGGCTGAACAAAACACTCAATGTACACAACTGAGCCCTGTGAAAATAGACACACTTCCCTGTTAAGAACTGCTCTTATTCCTTCACATTGTGGATTGAAAAGTGATTCTTGTTCCCCACAGACTTTGGATTCCCTTGGGAGAGCCGTGGCTGCCTCGGACCTGGCGGGACTGGCGGAGCAGCTGGAGGCCCTGGCAGAGCAGTGCAGGGAGCAGCTGCCGTTCCGCTACCTGGCTGGGCAGAACGGGGCCTACCCCGTGGTGTTCTCTGCCTGCCAGTTGGCTTCAGGAGACAGAGGTTTAATGCTGAAGGCCTTTAATACCCTGTCTGCCATCCTGGATGGGCAGCCAGACCTGCTGGACTCGGCTGGCCAGGATCTGCTGCTCCAAACCCTGCAGGAACACAGGGAGGACGCGGAGGTGACGCTGGCGGGGATCCGGTGCATCCGGCACGCGTGTCTGAAGCACGAGCAGAACCGGCAGGACTTTGTGAAGGGAGGGATCCTCCCTCTCCTGACTGGAGCTATAACCCAGCACGGAGACAGTGCTGACGTGGTCCGGACAGCCTCCTCAGCCCTCAGGGTGATGACGTTTGATGATGACATCCGAGTGCCCTTTGGTCACGCTCATGATCATGCCAAAATAATTGTGTTGGAGAATGATGGGTTGAGAGTCCTCATTGAAGCTGCGAAAGGTAAAATTTAACCCCATGGCTTTCCCTCCTAATTGGGAGTCATCTGCTTTCTTCAGGCTGCCCAGGGAGGTTGTGGAGTCTCCATCTCTGGAGACATTCCAAACCCACCTGGACGTGTTCCTGTGGGATCTGCTCTCGGAGGTCCTGCTCTAGCAGGGGATTTGGTCTAGATGGTCTCCAGAGGTCCCTTCCAACCCCCACCACTCTTTGTTTGTCTCAGAACTGTCCTTTGTTGTCACTTCAATCTCCCCAGAGATGATTGAGAAATTTGCCACTAAAATGATGTTTGATTCTTAGGATGAAATGTGCCCCAGGAGAGAAAAACAACAGAACTGCTCCTGAGGTTGTTGGCAGCACCAAGGTGACAGTTACTAGTTCATCTAAGAAGCCCCTTCAGGCACTGGAAGGTGCTCTAAGGTCTCCCTGGAGCCTTCTCTTCTCCAAGCTGAACACCCCAACTCTCCCAGCCTGTCTCCAGAGCACAGCTGCTCCAGCCCTTAGATCCTCTCTGGCCCTCCACAAAGAGTGAACAGAATGTCATTTGTGCTGATGTGTTTTACTATATAAAGTGAAATTCCCTGTTGTTTGAACCACCTTGCTGCTGCAGCACCTTTTCCTTCCTCCTTGGTACTCCATTCATTCTCTCTCCCCTGCAGCTTTCACAGATAACTTCAGTGTTCTCAGTGAACTCTGTGCCACCCTTTCTCGCCTCTCTGTCAGGAATGAGTTCTGTCAAGAAATCGTGGACCTTGGTGGCTTAAATTTTATGGTGTCTCTCCTGGCTGACTGCATTGACCACCCGGTGAGTCAGGAGTGGAGGTGATGCAGCAGGGTCTGGTTTCCAGTTTAAATTCCAGGCTGTGAATGGGCCTTAAACTGTGGCTGCTTGTAGGTGTAGTTAGGGTTGAAACCCAACCACTGATCCCCAGTTTAGGGCATTACCCACAGAACTAGGTGGCATGTGCTCTGTCAGGTAAGGATGCAGTAGTTCTGTGCCCCTTGCTTATTTTCTCTGTACACCACAAGCTCCCAGAAAAGCTGAGCTTTGGCTTTTCCACCCTTTTAGCTTGAAGAGGTTCAAGAAGATTTAGATGCTTGAGTCCCAGAGGTTGATGTTTGCTTCCTTAACCTTCTTTGAAAACCTCTGCCAGCCTCAAGTCCCTCTGTCCAGCAAGAAAGTGTGTCTGAGATGGAGTGACTGAAAACAAGGTTGCTGTTCATAACTGGGAATTACCACTGTATGGATTTGCTGGGGGCAGTGCTGGTGGGCTTTCAGGAGTCTGTGGCCTCTGCAGCTCCCTAAACTGGTTTTCCTTGGTGGGCCCAGGACGTGGTGAAGCAGGTGCTGAGCGCCATCCGCGCGGTCGCGGGGAATGATGACGTGAAAGATGCTATTGTTGCTGCTGGGGGAACAGACCTCATCGTGCTGGCCATCAGCCATCACCTCTCCAACCCTCAGGTACCTGCTGAGTGGGCTGGGGATGGAGGAGCTGGGGTTTGGGCTGGGGGTGGAGGAGCTCAGGTCCAGAAGGGGAGCAACCTGCAGCGTTAGTCTGGCTGGTGATGAACAGCTTTTGCTGGGAGCAGATCCATCCTGAGTTCAGTTGTTAAATGGTTGCAACTGACCAATGTATTCAACCTTTAACATTCAGTTGTTGGGCAGTGGTTCAGTGCCTGCTTTGGCAAGTATTTGTGTAAACATAAAGGTCTGTCTACTAAATTAGATATTTTTTTCTTGTTCCTGGATCGGATGGATACTGGGTACAGTTTTTCACACCTCTGGGGTGTAAAACTTGGTTTAAAAGCAGGATATTTCAGTGGAAGAAACTTAAATAAATATCTACTAAATTAGATATTTTTTTCTTGTTCCTGGATCGGATGGATACTGGGTACAGTTTTTCACACCTCTGGGGTGTAAAACTTGGTTTAAAAGCAGGATATTTCAGTGGAAGAAACTTAAATTTTTTTTTTTAATTGCCGAAAAAGTAAACAAACTAATTTTTTTCCCTTAAAGCAACATTTGCATCCTGTGAGTATCTCCCTCTGCTCTGTCTTGCAGATCTGTGAGCAAGGTTGTGCAGCCCTGTGCATGTTGGCTCTGCGCAAGCCTGAGAACTGTCATGTCATCATGGAAGGTGGTGGAGCTCTGGCAGCCCTGCAGGCCATGAAGGCACACCCACGGGAGGTGGCAGTACAGGTATCTGCCTCAGGGCACCTGATTACCCAGGGCTGGTGTGGTTGTGTTCGCTGCTTCACTGGGATTTTTGCCTTTGCTGGACAAATGCCCAAAGGTTCTGCCTGTGTTGGGAATTCAGGGCTCCCCGCATCTGTCACCCTGATTGAGTCAAAGCAAACTTCAGTTTGGGATTCAAGCCCACCTGAATTCAAACAGCTGTGGAATGCCATGACTCTGTAACATAACAGCTGTTACTTCTCTTTCTTGAAAGAGCAGGATGAGGATAAGCTCTTTCAGACAGCCTGTGCTACAATATTAGCTGTCCTATAGGAGGCATTACCATCCAGAGATAAATAAAGACACCTGCATGGCAAGCAGTTAGCCCCTGCTTTCTTCTGCAAGTCCTGTGCCCACTTTTGTGCTCTCCAGAGTATTAAAATATCACAGAAAAGAGCTTAAACTACTCTTTCAGAAAGTAAGAGCCAGGCAGTGTACCTGCAACAGCATATATGGGGGTGTAAAAGAGGGTTTGGTGTACCTGGAGAGGTCTGTTTTTGCATGATTTGAAGTACTTGGTATTGCCTGGCTGCTGCCTGAGGGGTGCTGCTGCCTGAGGGGTGCTGCTGTCTGTCTCAGAGGTGCTGCAGCTCTGACAGAAGCAGAAGGTTTTATTGTAGAAACTTCAGGCATACTTTTGTCTGTGGATTTTATTCTACCAGGAAATAGTTTGTTGCTCTCCCCAACATCTCACATTTGGTTGCCCAGAGAAGGATCCTTAGCAGAAGCCAGATCTACTCTGTGTGTGCTACATGGACAGTGTTTCCCTGCATGGGACACTAAGGTCTCCCCTTTGCCTCTCTCCTCAGAAACAGGCCTGCATGCTGATCCGCAACCTGGTCTCCCGCAGCCGGGACTTCTCTCAGCCCATCTTGGAGATGGGAGCTGAGAACCTGATCACAGAAGCTCGTGCAACACACAGGGACTGTGATGACGTGGCCAAAGCTGCCCTGAGGGATCTGGGCTGCAAAGTAGAGCTGCGGGAGCTGTGGACAGGTCAGAAGGGAAGTCTTGCTCAGTGAATCCTCTCTCCGCAGTGGAGCTTCAAGACATCTACGTCCGTGAAATATAAGGGGGTGGGGGGAGCCAAAGTGGCATGGATTAACTTGCAGTTACATCTGGAATATCTGAAGCAAATGCCTGGCTTGTGAGGCTGCAGTGAAGTTGTTGTTGGGAGCTACAGCTGAAATGGCTTTATGCATTCACAGGCTGCAAATCAGCTCTGTAGTCATCATTCCCCCAGTCATCTAATGCCTGCAGATGATCTGCTCCCCCCTGCTGTTGTGTATGTTTCCTGTGTGCAGAACGGGGCTGTTCCCACCTGCTCTGTTCTGAACAGTAAGAGCAAAAGTGGATCTTTCCTGGTAGGAGTTTGGTACCTACTCTGGCAGCTGGTTCTGATTTGTTTCTCTGCTCTCGGGGCCCATGGAGGCCTGATCTGGTAATGGGATGGATGAGGAGGAATCCCATCATTTGTGAATGTGTTCTGTCCTTTTGTACTGTTCTACTGGTATTTTACTGCTGACCATGTCCTGTGTTGCTGCTTTGTTTTGGATTTTCGGCCAACGCAACATTTTAAACAGAAGCAAAGGAAGGATTTTGGGTTGTATGGCCCAAAGCAACATCCTTTATGTCACCATTTCAATCCAGGAGGAAAGTTCATGTTTCTTTCAGTGAGATTGGGCAAGTCAGGGACTGGTACAGTGAGGATGGTAGTTTCAAAGCAAGGAAAAACTGGCAGTGCAGCAGGAGCCCAGCACAGGGAGCCTGCGCTTTGATTTTATCTTGGCAGGATGGTGCTTCATGAATCCAGGAATGCTGGAACTGTAACCAAGAGGCTGTGAGCCTTGTGAAGACAGCTGAGGACTTGGGGGCAAAACCAGAGAGCTGAAACATCCACACGGGCTCTGAAGTCTTAGCTAAAGGCTTCTGTATAACCCTGGTGGTTCTGGGCATTGTGTTACCAGCCCTGCTCTGGTGCTGAACCTTCTTCCTGTGCTGCTGCTGATATTGTACTTGAGTGGATGTTTTCTGATGTGATATTTGCTGTAGAAATGGTGACCCTATAAAACATCAACATGTACAAGGGTGGTTGGCTCTTTATGGAGCCCTTTTTTTATTTTTTTGAAGTAGGAAAAGAAAGATTGTGGAAGTGCCTCTGGTGATGAGTTTGTAAGTGAAGCCTCTTGCAGCCCTGCACGCTCTGCCAGCAGCTAGCAAAGGTCCTGGTGATCCTCAGAGGCTCCTGACCCTGCCAGAGGAGGAGGAGAGGCTGCCTGCTCCCCTTTCCTGCTCTGTCAAGGGCTTGGTGTGTTTGTGCACCCCCCGAGGTCCTTGGGGGGCAGGAAGAGGTGAGGGAGAGACCCCGAGGTCCTTGGGGTGCCATGGAGGGGAGGCCTGGCTGTGCCCTGCTGGGGTGGGTGAGAAGCAGCACCACAGCTTAACGCGGCGTTTCAGAATCAAACAGGGGGGGGTTCCCCACGGCGGCAGGAAAAGCTTGGATTAATTTCCCCTTCCGCTTTAAACGAGCGTTGGTGTCATTTATTGTCACACCGCACCGAGGCCGCGCGTGGCAGCCCCTGAGGGGCCGGGGG